CCCTATTTATTTATTTATTTATTTATTTATTTGCGGTACGCAGGCCTCTCACTGTTGTGGCCTCTCCCGTTGCGGAGCACAGGCTCCGGACGCGCAGGCTCAGCGGCCATGGCTCACAGGCCCTGCCGCTCCGCGGCATGAGGGATCTTCCCGGACCGGGGCACGAACCCGTGTCCCCTGCATCGGCAGGTGGACTCTCAACCACTGTGCCACCAGGGAAGCCCTATTTTTATTTTTAAAAATAATATTCTCTTCTTTTTCATGGGTTAAGTATTTCTATATCTGTGGACATTAATTACAGGTATTTATTTTAGTCATTGCTTTAGGTCTTTTTCCTGCATTATTTCTTTATCTTTAACGTTTTATTACATTTTCTCTCGTTTGATTCCTTTTCTCTCTTGTTACTAGGGTTTTTCCTATAATATTTTTATATTTGTGATCCTTGACTATCAGTTCATATTTTGGAGAGACAAAAAAAAAAAAAATTGAGAGCTCTTTGAGTACCTGGAGGGGCGGCTGTCAAACAGTGGGCTTCACTGTAGGGTTTTCTGACTGGGCTGTTTCATCACTGGGGAAATTGCCCCATTTGCCACCATGTGTAAGTCATTTCTCTTAGTTACCCCTCTGAGGAAACTTCCAGGATTCCCCCTGTGAGTTATAAGCCTTACTGCCAGTTTCCTATGACTGAGGAGGGTAGAATACTGAATATCTCAGTGTTTGGTTGGTAGTCATTCACATAATTTGTTTAAGACTAGTTTTGACACTTTCCTCTGTATCTGGTATTCCTGAATGTGGTTCAGCCTTTCAAGAATGTATTAAATAGGAAAGGCTAAAGTGCTGTAACAAATCGACACCAAAATGTATGTCTCAAACACAGTAGGATTTTATTTCTTGTTCTTTAAGATCTAAAATGGGTTTTCCTAATTGGCAAGCAGCTCTTCTGTATGTGGTGAATTAAGGACCTCAGGCTTCTCGACCCTGTGGCTCTGCCATCCTTAGAGCTCCATCATCAACTGCATCTAGTCAGCAGAAAGGGAGAGAGAATTTACAAGGGGAAAGTACTTCCCAGATAGTGAAGAGTAAAATGCATGACTGTAACTTAGAGAGGGAAGACGTTGCTAAGTGCTGAGACAGTTTCCTACTCACTTTCTCACAGGTTTTAATTATCCGCCAAACGCTGTGAGTTAAGCTTTATCTCCAAGTGAGAAAGGTGAACTTCTGAGAGAGAAGTAATTTTCTCAGGTTCACTGCTGCTCAGTGGCACATCCAGGGTTTAAAGCCAGATTTTAAAACCAGTTCAGTTTACCATTTATTTTAAATCAGTTGAGAAATCAATTCACTTTTTAATCTCTTTTAGCTTTCCTTGACCATCATGGATTGCTTTTACAGCGTCTTTATAATTTTTTATGCTTTATTTATTCTCAACATTGTATTGAGGGCCAGAGCGTTAATGCAAGGGGCTGATAGGCTGTGTCCAAACCCATGGGGCCTGCTGTCTCTTTTGCCCCTTGTTAGGTCCTTCAGGATATTGCCTAGGATTTTCCCATACACACTTTATGATTGAACCTCACATGTCCCTCTATCTCTTATGAAGGTTGACGGACACATGGTTTATAGCAAATCAACACTACACAGATTAAAATTCCTTCAGAAAATCATTCTGTGTTGTCTTTGCAAGATAGCTTAACGACATTAGTTGAAGTAGTCTTCATATTCAAGATGATTTTCTTCTTATATAGACACTGGATATTAAAAAATACAGTTCCCAATTTTCCCACTCTCTTGGAGTCATTGGAAGTTCGCACTCAGCACAAAATAAACATTGAAAATAGTTAGAGAAAAGTCATAATTTTACAGGCTGCCTTAGTATAAATTCTGTTTCAAAGTATATTTCATTGAATAAGGGTCCTGAGCCTGTGAGTGTTCTGGAATGAGACCTCTTGGTAGATTCATGTGACTAGAGTCTCGTTTGTGATTACCTCTTCAATGAGAGCTAGGCCCTCATTTGGTTGGTTAATTCTTTCCTCTTTCCTGTCTCGCTGACCTTCTCCTTCTTAAGAGGTTCTAATAAACATTGATTATTCTCAAATCATATATCCTATTCCTGTCTCTTTCAGAGAACATCAGTGATACCTATTTTGCAGACAAGAGAATATCAGATTCTAATGTGCCTGATATCATGTAGGAGCTGTCATGTATATTAATGTCTTTTACTTAATATTTTCTTTCTTATTCTCTTTCATTTCACTTTGTGAGGTTCATATTTCCATTTTACAGATTAAAACAAAAACAGCAACCTAGAAGCTCGGAGAGACTAAGAGACAAAGGTAACAAAGTAAGTTGTTCAGATATGGTTCATTCATTTTAATACTCCCCAATAATCCAGTGTTTGAGTATACTGTTGGCCTGTATCTGCGGGTTCTGCTTTAGCGGGTTCTGCTTTAGCGGGTTCTGCACCTGTGGATCAAAAACATTAAAAAAAAAAAGCCAGACAGTTCAAAGAGGAAAAAACTTGTATTTGCTGCCCACAGGCTACTATTTACATGGCATTTACATTCTATGTACAGCTATTTCCATAGCATTTGCATTGTAGTAGGTATTTTAAGTATTCTAGAGATGATGAAGTATAAGGAGGATGTGCATAGACTGTATGCAAATACTACACTGTTCTCTATAAGGGACTTGATCATGGCAGATTTTGGTATCTGCTGGGGTCTTGGAACCAATCCCCTGAAATACCAAGGGACATTTGTACTATAACTTTGTTATTTCTTCCCTATTGATTTTTAAGTGTTTCCATATGTTTATTTTATAAATAATGTTTCAGTGAGTAACTGGTACATGGGAGTAGCTGGCAGGTAAACATGGTCACCTAACAGTTTATTGTTTAAGACTTTTAAATACAAAGCCATCACTGGCACTTAGTGATCTTACATTAGGCAAGACCGAGCTCCAGTTAATACTTGAAAATGTAGTTCCTATATGTGGAGCATGTCAATTATTGTTTCTGCTTATCTCCTACAGCGTATCAGGATAGGTCACTAGGAATTCTATATGGGTATAATGGGTGTATAAGACCGTTCTTATAACAAGAATCTGTTAGAATTTTTGTTTCTGTTAGATTAATACGCTATACATTGTTGTTTTCGAGTTTACTTACAGCCAGAAGAATTTAACGTATTTGAGTAATTTCACACTAATATTTCTGCATTTATTAAGTTTTCAAACCAAAGTAGTCCTTTGTGTGTGTGAGAATTTACAAGCTGCTGCTTTTATGTCAAAAACTGAACCAAAATGAACTCCGTTAGGCTACTCTCAGACCTTTTTTAAATTAAATTAAATTGAATTAAATTAAATTAAATTCCATTTATTTATTTATTTCCGGGCTGGGCCTTCCCCAACCAGGGTTTGAACCGAGGCCCCCTGCAGTGGAAGTGCAGAGTCCTAACCACTGAACTGCCAGGAGATTCCCTCTCCGACCCCTTTCAATAGTTTCATTTTGGTACCAGACTTTTTCATGAACTCAGAGAAATCAGTTTTTCATTTGCACTGTCATTTTTTTTTACCTCAATAATGTTTTAACTCTGAATAAAATAATTTTATTTATTGAACAGGTATTTTCCCCTGGGCAATTCTTCAGATACTGCGTGTGTGCATGTGTGTGTCCGCCTTGATTGAGTCCTCAGTTGCATCAGTGAACTCTCAGATTCTCACTGACTTTCTCTTTGCAAGAAGAACACGTTAGTGGATGCAATCATGTCCATCTGTGTCATCTCTGCGATGTCCTCTGTCCCCGCCAGCTTTGTCGTGTTCCTGATCCAGGGGTGTGTCAGCAAATAGAAGCACCTGTAGTTCATCAGTGGAGTGAAGCCTGTCATCTACGGGCTCTCCAATTCTGTCTAGGACATGGTAAGAATGCTGGTCTGCCGCTGCTTTATAAACCTCCAATAGGGCTCTGGATTGGACGGATGAAAGGGCCCCTGGCCATCACCAGGAAATGTTCTAGCTAGTCCAAAGATGAATGAAAGAGGAAAAGGCAGACCCAGTTGTACACTTTCATGTGACCAAACACGGCCTTAAGCACACGGCTGATCTCACGCCAGAGGAAATCCGTTCCCACACACTGCAATTCATACCACCACCACCTCATTCCCTAAGTGACAACTTTTCAAAAAACTGAGGTGGAAGACTCTTAGTCAAAACTTAAAGCCAATGCTTCTAACATGTCTGATAGATTTTAGCCTTCAGAGTCAGGGTGTTCTTTGCCTTACTAGGAACTCATCTGTCCTTCAGATTCCTGAGGACCAGGTAAGTGAGAGGTGACCGTGCTTCCTGTTTTTCAGTTTTCCCATAGATAGCTAATTCCTAATTTATTGTTTTTGCAGTATGTTAGAAACATAAACTAACATAGCTGTAAGTACAAGCTACCAGGAGAGCCTAGAAGTGCCAAATCTAGTTTAAGAAGGCTGAGGCACTCAACTAAAGTAAAAACTAAAGTTGTTAGTAAGAAAATCCTAGTATGTCTGGGATGGTACTGAAGAAATCCTTGTAAGGTTACTAGCAGGCTATTTACTTGAGGTGACAATATTTACAGTAAAGACAGTACATTATTACTGTCTCATTACCTTATGGCAACACAACAATAGCTCCAGAGATGAGGATAAAAATATAAAACACAGTAGAAAGAATCAGATTGTATATATAGGCTTTTATTAGGGCAGACATTTCCATAATTATAAACCTCATTAAAACAAATAGATGACCTAACACAACACTGAAAATCAACTATACTTCAATTTAAAAAAAACCAATTAGATGACCAAGTATCTTTATTAAACGGTGATCCAAAATGAAGTAAAAATTAGTAAAATTAACTGTAAATGAAGACACTGCAAGCACATAAACCAATGAGTTATCAATGTGCTTTAATACCAGGACCTAATAACATTATTTTCCAAGTAATTGATTAATTATTATTGTAAAAACCATTATTAACATAAATGACACAGATGATACTGTACTTTTCTGTAGTAAAGAAACGTTTAATGGATTTTTTTATGGATCCCAATTGGTATTATATAGAAAACCTTACTGAACAAAAACTTTTATAATCTCAGAAAAAGACATGATGAAATGGTTGATAGTTTATGCATATAGTTTAACTATACTATCACAGGTATGGAAATGTAACAATCATTTGTATGTCAGAAAATGGTATAAAAGCAGAGGGTTGTCAAAATAGAGAACAAGAGATATTCTGAAACAAATGAAAAATCAAGATACTGTGTAGTAATGGCAACTATTTTTAATGTGTGACAGATACTGAAATACCAAGGGGAAAATGAACAGACTGTTTCCTGAAGTGGTGGTGACAGTGGATACAGAGTAGCTTTTAAAAAATGCAAGGGATATAGCAAATTAGCTTACCACCTCCTTCAAATCAAAGTGAGAATCTCTTGGAAGAATTTAAGCACCATTAACAGACACATCTTATGGCAGTTCATGCAATGCTTTGTATTTCCGTGGAAAACTATTTCAATGGTGAATATGACGTAGGAATCAGAAGCATATTTTGCTGAGACACTAGGTAATTGACACTTTCCCGAACTGAAAAAAAAATTCATAAGAAGGTATATAAAGTTGTTGACTAAATGAAATTTGTTCTAAGAATAACTCGTACCTAGTGAAATAGCTTACCAGCTGCCACAACTCTGGGATCCTCGTGAGACTGGTGTCTCCCAGCTGCTCGGCTATCCGCACTCTCGTTCCACCAAAGAACATGGACTGCAGAAATAAATAAACCAGAAATAGATTCTAAAGACTGTGGCATTGCTCAAATAAGAAAGACAGAAACATTAATCAGAAACTAAAAGTCCTGTTCTTTAAATCAAAATAGTGATTATCAAAAAGGTAGCACTAAGTATGTTAGTGATAAGATTTCAGAGGAGTCAAAGATTTGGGAGAGAAATTTATAAATTAATTAGTCAAACTGGTTTTATAGAAGAAGAAACAGAAGGATTTTACTTTATTTTGAAAAAGCAAGATTATAAAAAAGTTACGCTGACTACTGAATATTAGGCTGATGCAAAGAAGAACATTGAAAGTAGCTGAAACTTAACCACCCAGAGAAAACCTTTATTAATATTCATTGTATTTCTTTTAAAAGATGAGAAATATAAAATTAGGGTCTTACTGTATATTATACTTTGTAAATGATTTAAAAAAGTCAACAATGAGAAGTTTCTATGACAATGCTGTTAATCTTTAACATGTGAATTCTGCCCCATAGATGTAACAACATTTTATACCAGCCCCTTATTGTTGATTCTTTATATCATTCAAAATAGGTATTCTACAAAATACTGAAATAAATGTTCTTTTACTTAAATTATTTAAAAATTTTAAAATAATGACAATGTAATACATGTTGGCTGTATAGATTCTGGAAAATGCAAATAAATAAAAAGAGAAAGCAGGAATAGTTTCTAATCCTACCACCCAGAATTCACCACTTTGCTATTTTGGTTTATCTTTTCCATATTTATGTATATATGTATGTATTTTTACATTTTTATGTATTTAAAGACACACAGCATATATGTTTATGCTTATATGAGACGCATGATGTGTATGATGTATATGTGTGTCTGTTTGTGTATTACAAATATATACATAGTGTCATACTACATTGTTTCTAAAGTTTCCTTATTGTAAACAATGCTGACAAAAACTTCCTTAGAGCAGCACCTATCATGTATATTTATAAAAATAACAATGTCAAAGTCAAATCACTACTTACATTTATTGGGTGCGTCCTATGTGCTAGGCCTGGCTTTAAGCGTTTTGCATGTATTAACTCATTTAGTCTTCACAAGAATCCTAGGTGGTAGGTTATGATTATCATTATTTTATCAATGAGCAAAGTAAGGCACAGAAAGGTTAAGTAACTCACTCCAAGTCACAAAGTTAGTAAGCGGTGGAGCTGGGATTCAAACCCAACCAGTCTGGATCTCATTATTTCCTCAATGTAAACTCCTAAAATTAAAATTGAGAGAACCAAAGGGAATATCTTATATAGGTACAGTGTACATACTATATGTTGTCCAGAAATGATGCACTGATTTATACTCAGCATATTACTCTTCCCTTTTCTCCACTGAGAATGAATTTAAGATTAAAAAGTGTGCCTACTCATTTTCAGTTTTTTCTTATAAAAGTTATATTATGTTCATTATAAAAATTAAAATACCACTTAAAAATTATTTTCATCATTCAAGTGACCACTATATATTCTTTCAAATTTCCTTCCTGTGTAACTGAACACACCTATACAGCTATGCATATTTCCTAGAATACTGGCAAAAATAATTTTAAAATTAAGGCTTTTCATTTATATTGCTGAATTTCATGGTGGGGAATTATTAAGCCAGTATATGCTACACAGTAGGGGTACTTATTTTTTCCCAGCTTCCCTGGTACTATATCTATATAAGTATGTCTTTATTTGGTGAAAATGGCATCTCCTCATAGTCTTAATCTACATCTTCCTAAATATATATTTAGTAGTCATCTTGAATATATATGTATACACATATATACATTCACCTACATATATATGAATGGCACAGGAATAGAAAGACCAAAATGTTAACAGTATTATCTCTAAGTAGTGGAAAATGTTTTTTTTCCACCTTTGGTCATGGCCATGATATTTAATCTCTGTAAAAATATGTATTACTTTTTCATTCAGAGACAAACACTCTATCCCAAGTAATGTTATTTTTAAAAATCAATAAAAATATATTTAGAGGAAAAAAAAGATGAAGAACAGATTTTTCTTAGCCTCCTTGCAGTTTTTTAATTTTATCATTTTGATGTATCATGGAAAACAGCAGTTCAACATTTGGAAAAGCCTTCATAAGTGGTTAACATCCTAAATAAATATTACGTAAAACAGGTATTTTCAACCCTTAAAATGACAAAAAACCCTAAATATTTGGCAATAAAAATGAAATACATGGCATAATCAAAAACAGTGACAAAATACTGGAGGAACTTAGTAGGTCACCAGTACACTTTAAATTTCATAGAAGAAATGGACCACTGTACCTCTGTTGAGTGCTCCATATTCTGTATGGAAAACTCCAATTAGTTTTGAGTAGCCTAGCTCGACATGGGCATTAATTGCTCTTTTAAATGCGTCACCCCACAGAGCTGGCCCACCAGGTTTCATCTGAAAAGTTACCAGCTCGTAGACTCCTGGAATAGGGAGAAAATAAATTATAAAAGATATTCAAGAAATTTCTCATCAGGTTAGCATGGTTCCAGTGGAAGGCTAGTCTACATATACAGATTTGGAGGGTCAAACATAAAAATGTTTATGTACACATATTTATGATTTCTTTGCATTTCTTGCATTTTTCCTAGCTTTTATATTTAGAAAGTCTCCATGTTTAAGGGTGAGTTATTAAGCTTATCATAGAGAACAAAGAAAAAGGAAGCTATATTAAGCTATTATCAGAATGATTTTTAATCTATAAAATTAGTCATTTAAACAAATACTGAGAATTTATGATAGGATTAGGATTTTTGAGCTGCCTGAGTCTAATTCTAGGTAAGAAATGAATAAGAAAAGTATTTTCTGATCTCATATATTTCCTTCTTTCCAATTCTGAGAGGAAACACTTTTTTGTTTGTATAATTTCCCCCTACAGGTTTCCATTTCTAACAGGAACAGCCGGCAAACAAAGGACCCAAAGTGATATGTGAGATTTTTGACGGGAAAAAAGATGAAGAAGGTGGTTTTATTGTTCCTAAATATCCAGGTAAACACTTGAAAATCAGTCTACCTTCTGGTCAGAAGTATGGAGCAGGTAGAAAAAAAGAAACCAGGGAACAAGTAGATTTGAGAAGTAAAAGGAAAAAAAGTACAAAGCAACTAAAGAATTATAAACAACATAGAGGCAGATAACCAAGATGTGACACTGTTCTAGGAGCCACTAAGTTCATGTAGCCAGCGCTGAAGGCTGAGGGGAGGTCCAGGTGGATAGGATCCAAATAAGACATTTCAAATCTCTTGTCATCTAAGATACATTATGAAGTTGGGATTATGGGGGAAAGAAAACTTAAATTAGTTTATGCTTTCAAAAAGTCTGCCTTTGGTTTAAAATTGGGTTGAGGTAAATATTTCCCTTAAGTCAGTAAGAAAGTGAAATCAGCAAGAAGATAAATCTTTAATAATTATTTTCAAACTGAGGAATAAGAGGAAAACAAGTTAAACTACAGTAATTCAGCTTAACAGTTTAAATTAATCCATCCCCCCCAGTTTTACAAGCAAAGATACACTTACTGTTTTTAGATTAACTGTAATTTGTGTAAAAAAAAATACTAAGTTATGAGAAAATATCATACATTTCCCTTTACCTACCTATACATGTGTTCTGTGTTCTAGATCCCCAACTTCTCAACCTTTCTTCCCATGTAAACTTTTCATATTCATACCTAAACTTTAACAGCTTTTCCAAATTGGAAAAAAATTCATTATTTAATGCTCATTGTTTTAACTGTAAGCAAAGAGCTCAAATTCATTTTTATCTCTATAATCACAATATATTCCGATATAAAAACAAAGGATTACTTTCTCCTACAGAACTTTAGTTTTTATAGCTTAAAATCTTCAGTATGTTCTTCATTAAAATTCAGTGTAATTTAGAGAGACGAACTTACCTTCTTTGGGTGGTTTTTCTAATTTGCACCATGGCACCAGATAAGTAACTTCGCTCTCTTGTTTATCAGTGAGACCCATAATTGGAATGAGTAATTGTTCTCGCCATTCCTTATCATTGGCCAAGGCTTTCCGAACTTCAGTTTGATGAGCAAAATTGTCTATGGGAATAACAGGAGTAAGAAAAATAAAACTTTTTGATTTAAAATCACCTGTACACCTTTAACATATATAATATTGTATATCAACTGTACATCAATAAAAAAATAAAATCACCTGTACTATTTCTGGGTTTCATTCAATTTAGCAAACGTTTATTGAGGCCACATAAGGACAATATGTTATATCACTAGAGATACCAACATAAGTAGTTAGTTGCTCATGGTCTGAAAGGGGAGTGGCAATGTAAACAACCAATGATGTCATATAGTAATGGGCTTCATAGGTGCTACCATTTAGTAGGTAGTTGTGAGACTTAGGTAAGTTATTGAATCATTCTGTGCCTGTCTCTTATTCTGTGAAATAGGGATAATGATATAGTATCTACCTCCAGGGCTGTTGTGAGGATTAAAAGAATTGGTACATGAAAGGAGCTTAGAACAATGTTTGGCACCAAGTGAGTACTCCATATATATTATTTATTCTTATTACTTGAGGCATTTAAGTTATAGTGTTAGTCTAGAGAAAGACTGTTTCTTCGGTAGTGCTGGTGGTGGGTAGTCAGGTCAAGGTACAACTGAATTAAATTTAACATAAATGAAATTAAGATTTGCTTTTTCAGCCTCTTGAACAAACAGCTTCCAAAGAAACAGTGCTAATTCTTACTTATTGACACCATTCTTTTTACCCAGTACTGTTTCTCTTCTGTTTGTTACCCAAACAGGTATATACATTT